GCAAGGCAATATCCTAGTTAGAATTAAAAAAATTCAGTAATAAATTATATCTATATAACTTGTAGTTTATGAAAAGTGCTGCTGCTTTAAATAGAATACGCATTTTATTAGTTTAAATTTCAAGTTATTTGGCCCTAGTCGAAATATGTGTGACCTTTACCGTGCATTTTATTTATTTATTTAGTAATGCTCCGATTTCAGCAAAGCAACAGTACTTTTCAAGTTAAGGAATGGTTCCGTTATGCACATTCAAAAATTGTCAAGATCTATTCAGTGTATGCCCTTGCGAAAAGGCGATTTGATAGGGCACCTCGGCGTGAAACATATACACCCTGTACACAGAAACAGGGTAGAATTAATTCAATACATTCTCTCTACAATTTTTAAATAATGGCACTAAACAAAGGTTTCAGATTTGTATTAGTGGTCTACCTAAGATTTGCAAACAATATTCTGTTTAATAATAAAATGCATTTTTCACAGTGGAAAAATTACTTGATCCGCCTCTCACTGCACATAAAATGCGTCAAATTTTACCATGATGACGTCATGTCGGGAAGTACTTGCGATCAGTGACTTGTTTATATCTTGCTGTGTGTGATTTAACTTGCGACAAAAATGAATGCAGTGGTAAGTTTTGATGTAGTTTACCCTTATAAATTAGACCCCGGCCCCTTTATAAAGCCTTAACAGAGCTGCGTTAGATCCAACTTTTCTGGCATAGTGGTTCTTGAGAAGATTCTTGAGAGATATCACTAAATTATCACTAATTCTTATCTACTTCCCTTGAAAGAGTGCTTGGCCTTCATTTGAACAAACTTGAACCCCCCCCCCCCCCCCATCCACGTATGACGTATGCTTTGTGGCAAGATTTGTTGAAATTGACTCAGTAGTTCTTGAGAAAAAGCTGATACTGTGAAAAGTTTACAGACAGAGGGGCAGTCAGACAAAATGTGATTAGAAAAGCTTACTTGAATTTCCAGTTCAGGTGATCTAAAAATATCAACCCCGACACCAATTATATTGGCACCTGTATTGGCACTTGTATATAAGAATAACGCAAAAAATGATTTCCCAAAAATCATCACTACTGAACGAAAAAAAAAATAATACATGTATTCAATCTCCAAATATATATTGGAAAAAAAGGAATAGGCTGATTTTTCAGATATCTCAAGAATTACGGTATTTTAACATATCACAGTGAAGTACAACAATCCCAGACACAATTTTCTGACCAAAAAAAGTTTTCTCCCTACAGTATGACGAGTAATGCTGTCTGTCTCCCTCCGTGCTTGTGTGTGTTTGTCAATCTGTCTTTCTTTTCTCAAGTATATATTCGTCAAAACAATATATCGATGACAAAATAAGCCGACCTTGACTGTACATATTGTTGCGGGCGACAATATATGCTGGTGCTTGACTGTACATTTTGTCGTCCATTATGTAGGAGGAAAATCCAGCTCGTCTCGGTACAAAATGTCTCCGGCATCATCGTCAACAATATGTACAAGTCGACCACAATATGCGCCGTGAGGGTAGGTACATGTACATATTTTTGCCGACGACAATATGTACAAAGCGACAATATGTACTGTCACAAGCGCTCGCTCCGTGATCGGTAGGTTGTGTGTTCAGATCACAGCTGCGACTGACATAAGTCGATAAAAAATAGGTAGCAAATGTTCCTTTGCCAAGCGCTCGGCACTTCGAAGTGAAAGTTGCGGGTCCTTCGGATGAGACCTTAAAAACTGAGGTCTTGTGTCACGGTATGCGTTGGCACCATAAAGAACCCTCGCTGCTCAATGGCCTTGAGTGCCTAGTAAAGGTCTAAATTTGAAGCCCTTCACCGGTATTCGTGACGTCTATATATTTGTGAAAAATTCTCGAACGGGACGTAAAACAACATACATTAAATCAATGTTTTATATATATATATATATATATATATATATATATATATATATATATATATATATATATATAAATTTTTTTTTTTTTTTTTTTTTTTTTTTTTTTTTTTTTTTTTTTTTTTTTTTTTTCCCTAGTTTTTTCCAATCCGATGTATATAATTTCTTTTATTAAGTTCTCAAAAATTGATACTACACAATGTGCTGTAGTGTAAATACTTATAGTGCTGTTCATTGAACTTTTCCTATTCTTTCAAAAAAGTAATTTTCATACATGAAGTTTATATCTACCATACAATTATCAACGTCTATTCTAAGTTCCTGCAAGGTATCGTGTTCCTGAACATTATCTGGTCTGCAATTTGATTTCAATATATCTGGCATGCAACACAAGGCTTTTATTGAGACATTCGTAAGCTTATAAAACATATCTTAGAAAACTGTCGTCAAAACACAGAGTTTGAAATATTCTCTGAACATATTGTTACAGTGTTTTCCGTTTTTACAGTATACGACGTCTGTATCATTTCTTTAAACATTTAGTTTGACTTTTACAATAGTCAAGTTGTTATTACGCTCCCTCAGTAATCGAAATGTTGTGTGTTCTTGCCTCGACCGCAACAAACCTTAATCGATATAAATAAATAGATAAGTACCTCGCCAAGCGAAGCTAACGATTCAGGCTTTCGGATGAGGCAGTCATTGGAACGTTAAGTGCAAGAGGCGAATTCCTGCGAATAAACTTACTCAATCCCTAAAATTTCTGATAATCAGCCACGAACGCAGATTAGTGTAATATCCTAGCACTTAATGAAACAACCTTCATTCTCTATTTGTATAAACCACACACAACAAACACTTGGATACTTCATACGTTACCACTAATTGCCTTTAATTATTGCAAATAATTATTATGTTTTATGCTTTCTACTACAGTTATTGCCGAGATTAAATAAATGCCAAGTAGATTATTCTCCAATAAATCACGAAAGTCATCGAAAATTAATCCGATCAAAAACACTTGTCAAAACTGTGCAGTTGGATTTAATTTTTAACTTTAGAATCTAATACTTATTTAGACCATATCGATGTGTCGTCTTTCGCAGTCTAAGTAATGTGTATTGCCTGAAATAGCTAATAAATGCCGTTTTATAGCTAAATTGGGCTGTTCCACGGTCCTCCCCACAAAATTTACATGTATATTCTGCGATATTACTGATAAAGCAATGAAATAGACCTCTAATCTTGTTATTTTACAATCATAAAAAAAATAATCAGTATATATAACAAACAATTTTAAAGACAATTAAAGGATAATTTAATCCAGTGAAAGCTCAAATCGTCTGCATTCCATTGCGCAAGTGATACACAAGTAAACAAACAAATTGGACCTCTTGTGTTAAATGGAACAGCCTAATTGCGACATGGTTACCTATTTCGTTTCTCTTTAGAGGGAGCGATCAACGTATTTTAGTACTTTTAATAGAATAGAAATAAAGTTCTTGTTGTCGTCAATGATGCAGGATAACCTCCTCGGTCTCAAATGTTGTTTGAACTTTCCTCGACCTCGGATGTTATCCTGCATATTCACTAAAACGCTAACTTTATTTCTTAAAGAATTGGTATTAGAATCCATTAAAAAATATATGCATTTGCTATTATGATGTGCCTCTTAAAAAAATGAAGAAAATAAAGCCAAAATATAGGCATGATTAATAACTAAATATTGATAACATTAAAAAAAAAATATGGCGTAAATAATTACATAAAATATAACAATCTCTTCTAGAGGCCTGGGACTTAAAAACTATCTAAAACAAATAAAAAAAAACAAAACAAAACAACACTTACAAAAAATATGTACTAAACTGAATTTCTACGACAAAAGAAAGCAAAATTGGAGGGGTGGAGGCAGCTGTTAATAATTTGAAGCTATGCAATGCACGTGTATTTTTCACGGCGTCCTAAAAGAAACTGAAAAGCAAGTCAATCTGAACGAAAATGACCAGGTTTCACCAGCGGACGATTCCGACTCGACATTTATCAAAAAAGTTTCATTTCTAGTAATCACTTGCATTTGCCTCATCTTATTTGGCTACGCAAACAACCTTCGAGGATAATGCACCCGCAATAACTCTTTCTATAGTAAATGCATTCCAATGTTCATAAAATATAAACCTTAATATTCGTTTTTATGTATGTGTGAAGTTTTTAAGAATGTAAACGATGAACATGAATTACCTATAACACATAAGATATTGCTTTGGTAGAAAAGTTATCACATAGACAGGGATATGTATTTTATTTTGAAACTCTCATTATATTCATGCTAGTTTATTTTAAACCGCATGTGACACCAACCCTAGTTTCCACTTGTAAACAAATTTTGTTTTTATTTTTTTTTTCTACATCCTGACCTTGGAGGACACTTAACACTATGCATTAGGATCCATATATAAATTTGACAAAAGATTGTTCTTTCTGAAGGGGGTATTCCGCTGGAAAACCTTTTTTTTTTTCTTACGGATATTTTTCCAGAAAATCTGCAGGTGATCCCCACTAACCCTAAAGAAAAAACTATAGTAAACTATAGTACTTTTTTTCTTAAGTTAGATGAAAGCTTGATGATGTCATGCTACATGTATGACACAACATCAATACCTGCTGATAAATACTACAATAAGTCCACAACCATTATCGATTGATAACCTTAACACAAACAAATATCCACGTTATGTTGAAATTTTCATTCTATCTTTAATTTCAAACGCAAGTGTTTTTTTTTTTTTTTTTTTTTTTTTTTTTTTTTTTTTTTGTCATTTTTCATTCATTGTGTATTAAATTATTTACATGAAATTATTCTTTTTAGGCGAGAGAGAGAGAGAGAGGCAACATAAACAAATGAAAAAGATCTATAACTAGGAATTATTTGCTTTACAAAAAGCTTTCAATCTTAAATAATTGTGTACTTGCACAAGCAATTTTATTTTGCTTTCATTTTCAGTTTTTACTTTTTATTTATTTATTTGCTATACATGTTAAATACATATCTATCTTTTTTTTAACAAATAATAGTTTGAATAGCTTTCGTCATTTTAAGGCATCGTAGAAGTGATTGGATTCCCGATTGTCAGATTTATTTTCTTTCTTTAGGTAAGCCAGCTTGTCAATGTAATCATTTTCTGAAGAAAGTAAATCTTCTTTTCCGCTCTCTTCTGTATTCTGTCCATCCATGTCTTCGTAAAGATTTTCCTTCGTGCCTTCATTTTCATCATTTTTTCTATTCAACTGTTTCTCAAGTCTCTGTATCTCTTGCCGTCCTTGAACCATCCTTGAGTTAGATTGTTTTACCTTCTTCCAGATTATTCTTCCACCAATAGCTAGTACCAAGAACGTCATGAAAGCTATAACACCGATAAGAATTGGTGCTACCGGAGGCTCCATATTCGAATTTTTGCTCTCTTGTCTAGATTCTGTAGAGTTTTTATCTGGAAGTATCTCTTCATTCTTTGGTGAATCTAAATTGAGACGTTCAATATTAAACAGTAAATGAAAAGTTAAGTAGGCAAACGTTTGTTTATAAGTAATTGTTATTATATTTCGTTCATACACGGACCATAAAAGCCAAATAATATATAATTAATAAATTACACATTGTCTGTGACATTTTTTATTAATTTTAATAAAAAAAAATTGAGATCGATGGCAGTCATTTTATCAGGAATACCCTTAAAAAATTTCTTTTTAATCTTAAGTGTCAAAGAATTTACTATATTTAACGAAAGTAAACTATAGTTAACTATAGTATACTTTTGTTAGGGTAGTTACCAATACATCCTGTTGATATGTCACACAACTCTTCTGAACAGTTACATTCCTCCTGACAGGATTTGCCATACCCAGGATAGCGACACTCCATGAAACAGTTGAGGCCCATGTATCCCACAGGGCATTCTTTAAATATAGATATTTAATATCAGATAATTACATGCAATTGATGAAATTGAATTTTGTTATCTGTTCGGTGCATACTCATATCAAAAGAGCAATAAAGCATAAATTAAAGACACAGACTGTCAAATTAGATAACAGTTTAACAGGTTTTCAACATTTGATAAGAAAATCATGATACTGAAATAAATGTTTAAAAAATATATATATAAACAACAAAGCAAAGCGGTATATTTCCAATTTATTAGTCTTTTTATTTGATTTTTTAAGTATACAATAACCAAAAAGCTTGCATATACTAGACTTTTATACAATTTACTTTAATTTGATTTTCAAAATACTTTGAAAGAAAACCTAGCTACATTGAAGTTCATTGGTGATAACATATGTATACCTATATGAATTCTCTAAATACCTTTGCATTCATTTGAAATCTCATCAAAGAAAAATCCTTGACAGCAATTGTTTTCATGGTCTCTACAATTTAAACTTATCTTGAATATGTAAACATTTATAAAAATTGAAACAGATGATATTAACATGTATGGCATTTAAAAAGTTTTAGCTGTCACGAACTATTGCTTTAAAAAAATATACTTTAAGTTCTATAGATACATGTATTGTTGATTATAACTACTGAAAATCTATACATAAGTTATTAATGATCAGATACATACGGGTTGCAATCTCCTTTGGCAGCTCTAATATGATAAATAAATGTTACAGAGAATAAAACAATCTTTCTTAGGTACATGTTCAAGTTTACACTGCATATAACTTTTATAACTATCAGTATTGCAAACTAAACCTTATATACTTTGTGAGTACGCTTTTTCACGTGACTAAGTAATTTTAATATTGCTAATGTGATTCAATTTGCATTTTATGGGAGATATATGAACTAATCTACATCCTTGACAGACGTTTTATCAAAATTTAATCACATTTTATCACTTTTATCTTACTTTTGTATTCAGATTGAATACCATTCCAAAATTTCTTCTTGATAAAGATCCCAGTCAGACAATGTTACAAATTTACATTATATTGCACTTGAATGCATAAATTAAGTAAACTTTTGTTTTATTTCCTTTTCAAACCACTTTAATATGGTGGACAGACATACCGCGTCAGACGAGTCTGTTACTTTATGTCAAAAATCATTGCACCCCAACTAATTTGACCCGGTAGGAAAACGTGGACATTTTTTTTCTGAAATTTGTTTTAATATGCCTTGTACTGAAAGTGCTCGATAAATTATTATTATTATTCATTCAAGTGCTTCTAAATATATTTACTAATAATGCATAAAATGAATGTTTTTCTCCACAAATATTTCTATAAGCTATTACTGTTTTATTGTGAAAAAATGTTTCAGTAAAGAGACAAACAAAGTGTTATAAAGTAACTTTTTTTTTATTAAAACAGATATATATTTAGCATGCCTAATATTCAGAAAAAAGCAGCAATAAATGCAAATCCATTTCATATAACACAGTTATCTTCCTTGTCTGTTCTGAATCAAGAACAGGAATAAAAATGTTTCCATGTCAAAAAAAATAGAATTCCTAGAATTGGGTATATTTTTTAAGTATCCTGTGAGACGATAACAATGCAATACGGAGTCCAAATTGAACATGACACGAACTTCCCAGGTTTTATTCTCTCCATATAGTGAATAGCTCTTCGATATTTCCTTTATTTGTTAAATATAGAAATTGTATCAATAGATTGTAACAGTTTTGTTTAATACAAAATTGGCATATTATTCTAAATCAAACTCATTTATATATGCCAGTTTGATAGTAATGTCAGATTTCCCCACAAATGTTTGCTTTTATTTGTGTTTTTTTTTTTCTTTCTTTCACAGCTTTTGCTACACAAATGCCTAAACACTGAATTTTCAACAAGAAGATGAAATTGTATCAAAAACGTCATCTTTCTTCAATTATTTTAATTTGTTTTTCAAATTTTCATAGTTTTTCTTTTCAGAAATAAAAAAAATATACATACTTCAACATTCCGGGCAGAAATATTCTAGTATGAAAAGTTATTTGACGACATTCAAGTGTTCATGGGCCCATGAACGTGTATAATTTAGGCAATCAACGAAAACTGGCACCACGAATTTTGATGATTCCACACTTAGTAAAATAATGAACTAGGCTTAAACATTTGTATTTTAATTAGATGTGATGTTTGTAAAGGATTTCTCACAAAACAAGAAACCTAACTATGATATGCAATAACTATTGCAAATTTTATTTTGTTAATGTAGTTTGTATGCAGTAGTATACTGTTTTAGATTTTAATACTGATCTTCATAAACTTTATTACTTTAATAACTTTGAACTGTTAAAACTTCAATTTATTCAACTACGAGGGCCGTCCAAAAATTACGCGACTCGTTGCACAAAAACATATTTGACGACATAATCAAGCAAAAAGTCACAAATAATATAAAAGAATCATTAAATATATGGTCATTAAAATTTCCTATCAAAATAATGTAAATTGGTATCAATTTCGGGTGATTTAACAGGACATATCATGAAGTCACGGCGCAATAAAACATTCAACGTCACGGGCATTTTAAAAAATGGGAGCTTTCATTTTCTCAAAATTTTACCTTAGTATGTGATACTGTATAGATTGGGTTACCTTACCCACTTAGAATAAACATCCATATACCATTTCTGATCCAGCTTATAAACAATAAAACTAGTAATGTGTATTCTAGTTTGTGTTAAACCCCAAAACTGCAGATATTTCTGAAGTAAAGCTTGACGTCAGTCGATCTCAATCACAGTCTTAACAGCCTAGATCAGTGTTTTGTCGATGAACTTCTTCCATTCCTCCCGGATTGCTTTTTGACTAAGGTCTAACAGTCTAAAATTCTTTTTACATTTTGTAGAGATGTGTCGGATATTCCGCTGGTGTTCTACATGTTTCATTAGGATTATTTTGGGTCTCTATTGGCGTTTTCCCAGCACGATTCATGATTTGATAAAAGTGCGCTGCTCCGTCAATACACGAGACGTCACTTTTGCAGTTGATTTCTTAGGGTGTCACATCGGAGAAATATTAAATATTTCTGTTAGTACTTCAAATATTACGTCAGCAATCTAAATACTTAATAATAGAATAAAAAGAAATTTTAGAGAAAATTGTTGAATAATATCGTGAAATATGGAAAATAAATGAATACAATTTTTGATACCGCATGTTTGTTTTTCAACATTATTGCCGTGCTCCGTATGTCACCATCAGCAGTATCAAAACAGCAATAATTTTATGAGATAATAAATAAAAATTTAAAAAAAAAATACCAAGAATTTATTGGAATCTTTAAGAAATATGTTCCTGTGAAATTTCAATTCTATATGACGTCTATAAGAGTAAATAATAGCAGAGTCCGCGTAATTTTTGAACGGCCCTCGTACTTTCATTCCTTGATTAAAAAAAAAAAAAAGAACAGGGCGTATTCCGTTCTCGCGTGTAAAATGATCTATCTTGTGTAATTTCAGTAATGACTCTTTTATCAAGAGCTCTTCGCTCCACAAAATGGTGTTGTTAACTTTTCTCTGGTAAATTCAAAGAGTATAACATTTAGTTCCATTCAAAACAAAACAATCATAAGGACTTTGCCAGATTATATCTGAAAACGTGAATGAAGATTAACATTTATTTTTCATCCATTAGCCCTGCATATGTTTTTTTTTTAACCTTTTACCGTTTCGTCATTTAAAGGATTATATATTTGATATTAACCTTTACTTGGAGATGTATGCATAAAAAACCCTGATATTAAGCTGTACGTTTCTTAGTATTATCTTTCAATATATTTAAGTATATTGTTTTTGACAAGAAACTATGATCATTCAAAACCCATTGTAACAATAAAGAAATGCTAAGTAATCTGTATTTCACTAAAGTACACCAAAGTATTTACTTTTGCATTGCAGTTAACTATAGTATTTTTTTTTAGATGTGAATTGTGATAAAAATGTGGAAAAGTTCCCGTTATATTTAAATTTTCCTGTACAAAACTTTGTTTGAGAATTTTGTATTTTAATGTTCCATAAACAGAATGTTACAGACCTTCACGCCCTTTTCTGTGTACTAATGTTAATCGTTGAACACATGCCGGGATCACTCAATCTAAAGTGATTTGGACATTTCACTGATGGTTTCACTGCTACATATAAAGTATGTTTTCCTTGTTCTTTAATTGATTGAAAGAATGCTAGAAATTGGAGAATTGATTTAAAACAAAACAAATGTAAACACATAATATTGGAATCGTGGGACATTCTTTGGAGTCATTCAATTAATATGTGACATATCGACAAATGAGCAGCTGGTTAATTTGTTTTCTCAATTCAAGAGTCAACTTTTAGTTGTAAATGCACCGCTTTGTACTTTACGTTCTTTGTTATACAAGTTACACAGGATTCAGATTTTTTTTTTTTCCATTCTGCGTTTGGTCATTGATTTTAAAAATAATTAAATCTTTCAATATCTTTTAATGTACAGGGAATAATTTACTAATGTATTTATTTTCACAAGATGTTTGTTCAGCTGACATTCCCAGATATTTACTATGTAGATTTTTGCAGAGCAAACCAAACCTCTAAAATGAAAAGTAGGAATAGGTTACACAGATGAGTGTGCATGCCCCGTCGACCTGTAAGATTGTGTCCCTTGTCAAGATAGGACAAACGAAAAAATCAAGGAAGAATTAGTTGGTCTTTTTTTTTTTACTTTCTTTATGTTTGCTCAATATTTTATTAAAGATTTTTAAATGGTTTGAAATCAAACTTCATAACATCTAAAGCACTTTATATACGAGGGTTGTTAGAAAAGTTCTCTGACAAGTTCTATTGTGAGCGCGCTATTTGCATGAAATCAGTAAAACTCTTCAGGTAAAAAGTATACCTATTTTCCAATTAATATGCAAAAATTTAGTGTTTTCCGATGATCTTTAAAAAATAAAAAGCGAAATAATTAAGATAAAATATGCTTCACGGAGCATGTTACTTTTTCGCACTTTTACATTTCAGAGACATAATTTTGAAATTAAAAATTGCATAAAGATTTATGATATTTCACCTCTCGCTAAGATATTTATGAAACGTCATTTGGTGAAATTTTGAATTAAATTGGAGGAGTTATGACTATTTTATCACTAATTATAGATGATCAATGCGTAAAAACAAAGCCAAGAAATGGTAACGTCATTGAACGTCTTGGAGCACCGAGCTATTAAGAATATGTGTGCAGACAGGGACAGGGAAATGCCCGAAAGAGACTAAAATGTTTTTAGATGGCTTACACGTATCTAGTACCAAAGTGTTCAAGTGGTAGCAACTTTGTAAGAATTAATGGAAGGATGGGCATTTTTGATTATCAACTCCTGCGATACCCCAATATCCTGCTCATCGCATGGACGTTGCGCCAATGGATTTTGCATTGTTTCTCATATCTGATCGCTGAACTGCGTAGACATTGTTTTAAAGATCTCACTAATATCCGATACGCCACAAAAGACATTAAAAAATATATAACATGTCTTGATATACTTATTTAATTTTTAAGTCAGAAAAGGACAGGAAAAGTCTGTAGATATGAAAGATATTTACAACTGTGAAAAATCTTCACAGGTCTGGAATCAGGTTGTCACGTCACCTACCGTCATAAAACGTCAAGTGATTGCTCCGTGATTCCGATGACCGCGCAGTAAAAATCGAAGTATATTTTCAAAATGTTGGTAAATGGACATGATCTTTTACATACTAATAAACAAAAGATAAGAATTCAATTAGTCATACGTCATTCTTCAAAGTTTAAAATATATTTTCCTTAAATCAAGGTGTCCGCGAACTTTTCTAACAACCCTCGTATATATATATATATAAAAAGATTCTACTTATGCCTTGGGATTTAAAATTATACCCTGATCAAGTAAAATATGATATTAAATAATTGTTTTATTCTTTCAACATTGATGATAAGAGGCAATATTTGAAAACACATTACAAATCCTCATAAGCTGCCTTTTGATTTTTTACCGAATCCGTACAATAGAAAATAGAAAGTATGTATTGCTTTCAGTATTTTTTTTTTTTTTTTTTTTTTTTTTTTTTTTTTTTTTGCATTTTATGGCGTTCAAGGATAGGCAAACAACTATAAATAATTAATTTAATTTATCCTGATCAAAAGTGACTTTTTTATTACATTCAACCTAATTATATAATTTATCTAATTTTGGAGACTGCATGAAAATTAATTTGTTCCCATGCTGATTTCTTTGGACTATACTTCAGAATTAGATTCCATTTTTATCTGTTGAATTGTGGCTCAAAATTTGGATTGCTATCTCTAACAGTTATTATTTTTTGTTCCTTTCATCAATCTCACTATGAACATTCATGTCAAGTATTCAAATTGATGGCAACATATATTTATTTTCGTTACACAACTCATTAAGTAATCAGGATTCTTTATTCGTCGGGTAAAAGTGTGTACTCAGAATTGAACTTATTTTGCAGTTACGTGCAGCATGCAACTATTCCGTCAATAACGTTCACCGAATGGTTGGAAAAGTTATGAAATGGGAAAAAATGTAGTAAAGCTCTGCTACTCAGACACCTTTCAGATACAATTAATCATTTTCAGCTACAAAACAAAAGAGCATTATCCTGTGAAAGCGAGAAATTCATATTTCTGTCAAAATTTTAACCAACAGGAAACAAATGAATAAAAGAAAAGTGATATGTTCACTTGATTTAATTAAAGTTCTCATACTAAAAAAAAACAAATAAAAACAACGATGGAACCATACCAAATCCTGAGAGAAATATTACGTTCCAAACATTCATGATGTATGGTTTTACACATACAAAAAAGTTATCTGGAAAGATTTTTACTTTTTTCTTTGAAAGGAGATATTTAAAAAAAAAATATTTATTCGGATGGAAATCGGTAATATATCTTGATATATAAATGTACAAAATTTACAGGCTAGTATATACCCTTTGGTAATCCTTTGACATGTTTGATTGGTTCATGTTCATTGCAATGGGCTCAACATAATCCACATCTTCTGATCCATTTTCAATTGTATTTGTACTTCTTTTCTTTTTATTTTCCAGTACCTCAACATAAAAATGTGTGTCGCTTTTTCTTTCAACTTCTTGATTTCTGTCTATACGTATAATCGTTTTCCATCTTGCAAAGAATCCTTCGGCCCATAATTTTTTGACAGAAATAATGGAAAGAATCAGAGAGAGGACGACCACGAAGGCAATTAGAACTGGTTTGGAGGGATCTGCATAAGATTGATCAAAGAAGTCATTTGAAGATATAAATGTCACAGTCGAAAGAGCAGTTAGGCATACAGTAAAAATTGTCTAATCCGGACACGACTGGTTCAAAAGAAATTAGCCAGATTAGACAACTATCCGGATTAGACAAAATTTTAAACAATTACATGTTCTAGAAGTCATTAAAAGTCAACATCGTATTAGGCAAGATATCGAATTATACAACATCCGGATTTGAAACGTTTCATCATATTTATTCTTTAGAAAACTGATCAAGTGTGTTCAGAAAAAAATACCTCCTTTTTCAACGCTGATGCAGCCGACAATTTTATTACAGTATATTTCTGTACAATCACATTGTTGTTGACAAAGGCGGCCGTAACTAGGGTAGCGGCATTGTAAAGAATAATTTGGTCCCGTAAGGCCAGTGGAGCATTCTGAACTCCAAAAAAAAGAAATAGATAAATATTCATCATTCCTTTATGATGCCATAAATCAATAAAAAAAAGAAAGAAAATCTGCGATTATTTCAAAAAAAAAAAAAAAAAAAAAAAAAAAAAAAAAGAAAAAAAAAAAAAAATCAACAAAAATCCCGAAGACAACAACACCGACTGAGTCACTATTTGCACTCTTTATAAAACAGATTATACACTCTTCATGAAACAGATTATAATAGATTATATTTATTTCTACTTTGATGAACAAACCTATATGATTTCCTTTTTGATGCTGTCTAACGATTTTGTTTCTACACAATGTATTTCCACGTAAATGTTTGATCCTGTAGTTATTAATCTAACCCCTTCCATCCCTCAAGGAAAGAGGGCATTATCTGTAAACTTGAATTTGCATGAAATAAAACGCCTGCACATATTTGAATAACCCCACTGAAGTGAAAAGACGACTTTTAGTTGAAGATTTTCTTCCCTGTGTATAGCTGTGCTGTACTCTTCTTATTGAAACTTAGTTCTATATTGTGGCCCGAACCTACAAAAGTCGGATGCAATCTGAACAGATATGAACCTTCACTACCGCACGTTCTTGCATATTATCATGGCCCCCCAGATATGAACTGAACAAATTATTATCTACAAAGCCTGATAATGACTACTAATTAAGATGACGAATCTTAAACATGGATGGACTTTTCATGAGATCATTTTCCATCTGTTTTTCAACTGAAAATTCAATTTTTCCCTATTTGCACTAAGATCCACCTAGGGACCAGAAAGTGTTTTAAAAAAAAGAGACACTTTCCCCCAAAAATATTGCAGAAAGTTATCCTCTTTTCACTAGATTTCGATAAGACTGTTTTAACTACTGTACCCTATTTTGCCTTTCTTTTCAATATCCTATAGTGCATAAGAACATGACAATGATAAAAAATGAAGATGTTTATCATTTGTTATAATGTTTAGAATTTTAAAAATAATTTCTGATATAGTCTTTTGTTACAGTGCATAAATATTACATTTGTACCTTCGCATTTACTCTTCTCCGTATTGTATATATATCCTGTGCAGCAATCACTAACCGATGCTCTAGAGAATAATTGAATGAATATATATACATATATAGATTTGGGTTCTGATTAGTACGCGGCTATGTTAAGGCTGTCCGGCTTAATATGCATTAAAAATACGCTATTATATTTTGAGCTAGATCTTGATTTCAATTTGTAATCTATGTATACATGTGCAGTAAAATTGTGAAGAGAGTTTAATAACGTATTGAGAAAAAGCATATATGTGATGCCACATGACTGTGTTGATCACGTGACGGACACTTACAAAATTTCCTAATTGTCGCACAAAAATCCCATCGGCACAAGTGAAAAACAAAATTATTGAGAATAGTTTGTTACATAAATCAATTAAGCGTATTCTTGGGTATATATAAAGTGCTGAGGGTAAGTCTGAGTTTTGCTTCTTTAGAAAATATTTCACGAGAAATTCAACTTACCCACATACAAGGGGGCATTTTCCACTCTTCATCGCAATTTATACAAAATGGTATAAATATCATACGATCCCCCAGCAAAATTCAGTTAGACGACACACTTCTCTAGAAGATTCACATAGAACATCTTCAGTTTATCTTTATTAATCACTTGTGCCAGTCTAATATATGCATGATTTATAAATTCTAACTCTGTCTACAGACGTGTAAGGGGTAGCGTTTCATATTCATTTTTCTGTTATTGTTAGAATACGTACATAATCAGAAAGAGAAGAGAATAAAGATATTGTATTGCAAATAATAACCATCTTAACAGCACATAGAAACTTTAAACAACAATTCAGACACCTGATTTAAACATCAATGTCGAAATAAAATCTACATGCCATGGGAAGGAATGTAAAAGTTATGTCACTTTCCCCGTCATGACTGCTCAAGTTTGCAGTGACTTGACGTCATATTCTATTATGACGTCATATCTTGGTAGTTCAGAGAAGTAACAACGGCTGGTACACTGTGATATTAATCGGACAGCCTTATCCTAGCCGCGTACACTGATTTACTGTGACGTTATGATAGAGATTAGCTTTATCATCGGTTTTCAATCAAAACACAGATGGATTATTTATTTAAAGCAGAAAAATTGTTTTTCATATAAAAAAAAACAACTATTGTTTCCGGGCAACATTGATTATCTTCGCTTTCAAGGGATAATCACTTATTGGTTTTAGAGTATTACATAAATATCATGTTTAAAATGCGTTTTTTTTTATGTTTTGGACTTACGGAAAACATTGAATTTAAAGTAAATCTCTGAGCACACACCTGAAATCATAGTTAAATTATAAACTCTTGATTTATGACACTGCAAACACAGAAAAATACTGTTACCTTTCGTTAAAAATATACAAATTTGGAATACAAAGGTCGGTCATACCTTTTACATCACTTAAGCAGACCGTGAAAAAGAATAAGAATGCAAGAAACATAATTATCATAACAAAATCAACATGCCCGTACACCCATTATGTGCAAAAGACCAATGCACAATTTGTCAACTAAATTTGCTTTACAAAATACTTTGAATCTGATTGCGAGTTGCAATTTTAACTAATGATGATCTAAGAGGAAACTTTTATGTTGTAAGGAAGTAGGAAGAATATGATTTGTATTTCGCAAAAAAATGTCAAACAAAGCACACGAGCGTTGAAAATGCTCTCTCTCTCTCTCTCTCTCTCTCTCTCTCTCTCTCTCTCTCTTACCCATCATAGCCGACTTGTGAGGAATTGAAAGAATGGAATATGTTGTGGGGGAAGTGCTTTCCTGTTATTTTTTTCTTTAAATAATGGGCAATTCTTGTAGAAAATACCTGTCTTATTGTTGTCTCTCCTTTCTTATTTTAAAAATAACCTATCTGTCGTTTCAGTATGTAATCGAAAATTATGGGGAATGTTTTTTATCACTTATTTTTATGGGGAACGTCAACAGAACTCCTCTGGATTTACTGTTAAATTAATGTTACTCTTAATGTTTACGTGTATTTTTGCTCTACACCTTCCGCTAATTCATGGTTACAATTTAATATAGACATAAAACATTTCAATTTATCGATTTATCTCCATTTAATAGCCTACATGTATACATTGAATGTACACTGCAAACCTCATTCTCTCGACCTTCGATATGATGTCACAGCATATGCATATTGTTACATCGAACATCAAGCCCGATTCAACTTATTGAAAATCGATTTTGTTCATTGATATTTATATTTTTAAACGTTATCATGGTTATTCATTAAAAACATGTTTGCTTATCTTGCACCCAGATATTATTTTAGTTACGCGGGGCTGCTTTAAGTTTTTTTTAAGAACGTAATTCCCTTTATGACTACAGTAATAAGACTGAAAAATTCCAGAAAAAAAAGATTTCTGTATGATTTCAATTTTGTACGATGTAATTTTGCTTTAATCATTTTTTTCCTTCGCAGTTATACATAACAAAAATTTTGATGATTTTTTTTTCTCACAGCTAGCAACGTTTTGGAAAATTCTCTGTTTTGGGGGCGGGGTGGGGGTTCTCTATTTTTTTTTCTTTTGAAATGCTGGAGTTTGGCCGAGTTCGACCTAACATCAACAATTCAATTTGTTTATTTACCAATTAAGGGCCCTCATGGGGCAAAAAGAAAGTACGTTGTAAAAACCTGTATATTTTCATATAAATGTAAAACAATATACATACATACAAACAGAAAAATGTGTGTGAAAGGGAGGGGGCAAGCAGTGTCTAAATGAATGAATTTTTACATATCAAAACTTAAGCAAAAAAGACTATTCTCAGAAAACAATTGGAGAAAGTGGGGGGGGGGGGTCGGAGGCGCCTCCACCCCTTTCCTGACACCTTTCCCCGTGTATAACAGGCTTGTTCATTGTCTAACCAATCGGTCGATCAGTGTTAGGAAATCTTTGATGAATCGATATTTCTACATTCTAAAAATGTAGGTATTACATGTATTTTAATTTTTTTCAATGAGGATACATGTATTTCAATTTTAATTTCCTAATTATGCATTCTTTCGGCAAGTAACAATAAATATTATACAATAATAGAAAATAATATATATTTTAATATTTACGTATACCTCGTCATAAACCATTCAAAGTTCTTTCTAAGCCGTTTCAGAGAGAAAAAAAAAAAAAAAAAAAAAAAAAAAAAATTTAAACGAACCATCTCCTAGCTATTTAAAAATGACCCGGTTTTGTTTAATTTATAGTATATGTAACTTAAAACACATAAAGTATTTTTGTTGTTGTTGTATATTTCATTGTTCTTTTTTAATCAGGATATACTTCTAAGCTATTGACTTAAAGGTAAATTTAATATCAAGATTTTTTTTTTGTGATCTAGTTCGCCTCCCCGATGTGAAATACTTGCCGACGCCCCTGTTTTATAACCAGTTAGATTTTGGTTATAAGGTATAAAACTAATTCCTGGACTATATCCGTTGTTTTGAGTAAACGGGGAAGAAGGAATGTTGGCGGTTAATATAGTGACGGTGCTGTGGGCCGTAATACAACGTAAGCGAGAAAGGTGCCGATTTCCTTATGGTCTTCCAATATTAAGTCCAAGAACTGGTGAAATCAGGTTTCCAAATTTATTTTCGACGATGGTAAATATCAAAAATACTTTACGAGTCTTAAAGTAACCGAATTGGATGTGGCCGGTAGAGCATCGGGCCTCCATACTGATGAAGGTATAAAGGACATAGCTTTTTGTTAGACAGAGAGAGTAAACAATAATTGCATTATGACACTGGCTGAATTAATTGATGGACAGGTGTGTTTCTTTGATAGAATGGACATAAAAGACATGGCTAAATAATTATATAAACAAAGTTATTGATATAAGATTAACAGGTCCTGAGGCATTTACACCTAACGAGTATCAATTGTTTTGACAGTCACTTAAAGTCAATTGGAATGTCTTAATCCTGCTTCAAAGGGAATGAGATAAATTAGACACAGTTAATTATTATTATATTAGCACATAGTAAAAACAGATAAACAATTTTGTAGATAAACGTCAAAATTTAGTATAATATATTTAAAAGTTATTTATTTCAAAAATATTAATTTTGCTCGGTGATAATATAATGAAATCCATCAGCGGAATAGGAAGTGTAGTTTCATTTCATTTAAATTAATATAAAGGTAACAATTCACGACAGGAACTAGATTTAAACCCCTCTCCTCCCTTCCCATTCTTTTTTTTTCCCGATCCAATATTTCCATAATTTAAATGATATATTTCCTTTTATTTAATTGTTTCTGTCTTTAAAGAACTTGTGCGTTTATTAGCTAATTCCTCTTTAAAAAAAATTGTTCTTAAATAATGATAATATCTTCAACTGATCGATGAATTAAAGAGATCATTCATCATCCAACATGTACAATATATCACGTTAAGATATTTTCAGTGACCATAGATTGGTTAAAGACAACGATCTTGTAGCATAAGCTAATTTGATAAAAATACCTAAATTACATAATTCTTTACTATTCTGTGTACTAAGTAATTGTACTAAGTTGAGGACGACTGGTCTTCAGGAGTCGAAGCCTTTTTTTTTTAATATATTTTTGTCTTAATGTACTATAATGTGGACATTTTAAACAAATTATTTGTCCCCTTATTCACGAAGATGATATATTCTATCATCTCTCACAATTCTGTTATAACTTCCTTGTTCAATCATTAAGATTTGTGCAGATAGTCTTAATCTTGTAATTAGTACTCTATATTTTAAATGTATATTGGTTTACATGAATAAGATGGCGGGGGGGGGGGGGGGTAAAATTATCAATAAGGTGTTGGTAAATGAGACAATTTGGTGATTTACATAAATTTGACATTTCACACTTTCTCTGATATACAATATCAATGGTGGTATTGCTTATACCATTACTACCATGCAATAGAATCAATAGGATAATTTTTTCGGGAGGTGGGGGGGGGGGGGGTTATACTCACTTTCAAAGAATCCAGCTCAACTCCAGCTTCTTTATACATAAGATAATGCGCAAACCAAAAAAAAAAAAAAAAAAAAAAAAATCAGTAATTCGTTCGGAAGGGGGGGGGGGGGGTGCTCTTCTCATGGACAACTCGCTTCTTTCCGGCATATAACACGCAGTGAGGATATTTTACTTAATCATTTTCTGTAGGTAATCACACATACATCGCACATGATGACCTTTCATAGATAACATAGACATTATTGTTGTTAATATTAAATCCTTCAAATTGCTCCATTTATAAATATAGCTATATCTTAAAAGTCTTAACATTTCGTAAGTTTCATCGCGTGATCCAAAAATTTTTATTAAGCACCGCTTGATGAGATGTTGGACCGGTAGATTAGATATATTGGACCGCTTTGACGTTTTTAACGTCAATATGGGTTAACCAAGTAGTAGACGTCTGACAGTTTCGGCATTGGTCCGATATCATCATTGTTGCAAACGTGGAAGGGAGAGCAAAATACCTCTGTCATAATATAAAGTAAACGATTCTAGTTAACAGTTTAGGCCTTGTCAAAGGTCCAACAAATTGCATGTTGCACACTAACCCAGTCAATAAATGTACATGTATAATCATGACTGCACATCACCTTTAATTTTTCGTACGAACTCAAAAGTATCTAAACCGTAAATTAAAATAATAAAGAAAAAAAACAAAACGGCAAACAAACAAGAACCCAGAATGCATAAACTATGATAAAGCACTCACTATATATAGCCTCACAATAGAGAATTTCACTATACAACAACGAAAATGAAGCAGCACATATCCCTTTCTGGGGAGCTTGTTTCTTGTTTTGTTTTTGTTTATGAAAAAAAAAATGCTCTCTAGGTCTTTTATCTATTTCTTACAAATTGCTCGTTTGGTTGAGTTCATTGCCACGGACGCGAGTCTGCATCTAGATCTCTCTTTCTCCAGAAATGAGAAAGGATTGTATTTTCTGGTTGTACGATTGTGGGGTTTGCTACGATGTGACATTTTGTACCACATCACATGACATACATGTACATGTGTGGTGTTTCATAGTCCCGTCTTTGCGGTTTCCATATAAAGTAACTAGGAATTTTTAAAAGGAAAATTTTGCAAAAATATAAAAATCATATCCATACAGTTTTATCAATATAAAAAGTTTAAATAAATCTGGGTCATTTATTCTTAAGACAAGCGTTTTAAAAACATGGATATCAGAGGCAATTTTAAATATAATGCCTCTTAATTTTGTATCATAAATTTCACCGTGATACAAGAAAACTGCTTTTTTATTAGTATGTCCCAGGGAAGTTTTAATCATATATATAGGCTATTCCAAATATATGGACCTTTCGGGTTGTAAGAAAAACCGCGGTCCGACTTGCTGTAAAGAATTGGGATGATTTCATATACATGTGTATACTGCGAAAACTGTAATGAATACCAAACAATCTCGCTAGAGTTCACATCAAAACTGCAGATATTTCCATGGGATATGATTGCATTTTGGAAATCATCTCTCATTCTGGTCTTAAGATTCTTTTTAAAATTCACGTTCTTGCTTGGCTTGTCAGACGCTGTGTTAGTTTTAATTTATATCTTTGCGGAGGTTACAGCAGCTAGGTCTTGCATAAGTCAGGAAACACATTTATTCCTAGGTAAGCTTATCGTACAGACTACTGGACCAGAAGAGCTTTTTTTTTTATTTTACATGAACCGCGACTTTACTCTCATTTACAAATATGAATTTCATCGCGTATTCACAGAGCAGTGGCAATCTGGTTGGAGTATTTTTTGCTGAATTCATTCACAAAATAGATGACCCTGCTTTCATTTCTTAGCGGTCAATCCATAAAGTCTTGGGGTTGTTATTTTCCAATTTTAACAAAATATATGTCGCGTTCACTTTCGATAAAGCATGTATAGCCTCAGAAGCTCATTTACATGTTCTTTTTATCAGGATTTTTTTTCTAAAACAGTTTCTACATTCACATTCACCTTCAAATAGCGATTTCATGTATACCCTCTCTTACTCGTAATTGGACAAATAGCTAGGCAAAAAATTACCCACTCTGTACCATATATTATACTTTGCCCCCCCCCCCCCCCCTCTCCTCCCCCCCCCCCCCCAAAATATTCGCCTTTTCATCAAAGTTCTTGGTTCCATATTGTAAACTGAATAAATTAATTAAATATCGTAATAACAGTATAAGGATGGTTGATTGATCGACTGATTGATAGATTATTGCTTAATGCCGGGAGCCAAGTAGGCATATTTTAGCAATATTTCGGCCGAAATTTAGGTTTATATGACCGGTTTTTAAAAATATTTGGTTTCTCTGGCAGCCTGAAGTGAGCCTACTCTTCTTCTTTTTCTTTTAGAAATCCAGAGAAACGGTCCTTTGCGTGCCAGGAGGTTGTAATCCTTGACCTGGGACACCAGTTATCATCCCATCCGACTGACTTTAATTTTAAAAATTTGTAAACAGTTAAAATTTAGATTTCTCTCTGTGTTCATTATTAACAACATTGCTTGCATTATGTACTTCTAAATTTTACTGTAAAAATCATAGTCTAAATAGACTAAAATTCTAAACTTTTATATTTGTGAAAAGTTCATGCATCGTTTATACATTATTAATTATAAAAAGTCGACTTCGAATATGCGAAATTCTAAGATTTTATGATTTATTGTTGTCAAAATTGCCTTCAATTGTGTTGGGTTCTTTTTTTAAAAAAAAAAAAAAAAAAACCTTTACCAGTCTAGTAAATGGATGACCTTTGCCAATCAAGAAAACAATACTTTATAACAATAACAATTTATTTACAAATGTACAAAAAAATCAAAATGGAACTCGGGCTCCGGTGGAATCGAGGCTTAGGAGACATCAGATGAATGGCGCACAGTAGACATCAGATGAAACACACAAGAAGCTAGTGCAAGACCATAATGTCACAGAATGATCACTAACACGTCTCCCAAACGAAGAACCATATTCATATTCATATTCATATAACATGTCGGCCGGAAGTACCAATCATCACCGGAAGTAGACGTCATCGGATTCAGGAAGTTCACTCATAACGTAGAATTAACATCAGGGAAGGTTATCTACATCTACTAAAAGGTCACTGGATTGTAGTCACTCACACTCATAAATGCAAAAACAAAAGGCCCAGGTTTCAAATGGTCCACACAGGTACCAGTAATGCATCCAATTTCCACACAGCATGGGAGCCGCCCAATCCACTAAGTATGGGTCATAATTTCACACCGTCCACACAGTTTGGTGTTCAGAACTAATCTGACAAACCTGGCCAAAACCCTGGATACGTGTAACTATTAATATCATCAGACTTGACAAACGGGTTTACCAAGCGATGCCGCAGCTCTTTATGCTACAATTCAGTGACCATCGATGCGTGTAAAGTTAAACACTCCACAATGTATGGAAGATCATTTGGAGCAATGTTTACAATATTGTGAAAATTCCTCCCTTCCTAAGAACAAAATATATTTTGTTAAAACGTAATAAAGTCTTCTTTTTTTATTTACATGCAAACTTTACGGCGCACTCTACACTGCAACATGGCGACTCAGGAAATCTGCACCTATGTTATCTGTTCCTTTGATTACCTCTGTCGTGAAGTTGTAAGACTGCAGGAAAAGTGACCACCTCATCAGTCGAGAATTCGCTACTTTCGCCTTCTGAAGATGAACTAAAGGTTGATGATCAGTTTCTATAATAAATGATCTGCCATATAAATAAGCTTGAAATTTTTGTAGAGCCCAAATTATAGCAAGACATTCTTTTTCTATAACTGAATACCTCTGTTCTCTATCGAACAGTTTCCGACTGGCATAAGCGACTGGATACTTCTTTCCGTCGTGATCTTGTATCAGAACAGCACCAACACCTTGATTGGATGCGTCTGTTCTCAGGATAAATGTTTTTGTTAGGTCTGGAAGTCTGAGAATAGGACTAAAAAGTAACATTGATTTCAAAGTCTTGAATGCATTTTCACATTGTGGTTTCCACTCGAACTTTTTAGGAACACCTTTTCTTGTCAAGTCACTTAAAGGAACTGCTACTGTTGCGAAATTCGGAACAAACTTTCGGTAGTACCCAAGTAACCCAAGGAAAGATCTCACCTCTTTTTTGGTTGTTGGTCTTGGAGCGTCCTGGATTGCCTTTAACTTCTCGTTCGTTGGTTTTATGATGCCTTCACCAATGATATGTCCCAAGTACACCAATTGGGTTTGACCAATCTCACATTTGGATGGTTTGGCTGTTAGGTGTGCATGTCTCAGCCTCTCGAATACTCTTCTCAGTTCCAGGATATGATCTTCAAAAGACTCTGTATGAATTAATATATCATCCAAAAAACAAACTGTATGTTGTAAACCCTTTAATATCTTACGCATTAATCTGTTGAACGTTGCAGGACTGTTCGACATACCAAACGGCATGACCTTGAATCTGTAAAGACCATCCGGTGTCAAAAAGGATGTTAAATCCTGATCTTGTGGTCTCATGGGAATTTGCCAGTAACCCTTACATAGATCAATTTTTGAAAAATATCTACTTTGGCCTATCTTAGCCATTAATTCATCTGGATCTGGCATAGGCTCAGCATCAAAGATTGTTACCTTGTTCAATTTTCGGTAATCAATACAAATCCTTTTGCTCCCATCTGACTTCTTAGCTACCACAATAGAGCTAGCGTATGGTGATTCTGAAGGCTCTATCACGTCCATATCGATCATGCTCTGGATCTCCTTACGTACATTGTCTCTTAATGCGTATGGTATTTGGTACGGTCTATTACGAATTGGTTCATCTGTTGTCAAATGGACTTCATGTTGAATGACATCAGTTCTTCCTGGAAGATCTGTCAACACATCTTGAAATTCATGTAATAAAGTTTTCACAGATTTACTTTGTTCAACACTGAGCGATTCATTTACCTTAACATTTCTGTAAGACTCTGTCGCTATCATTGGAAGATGGTAAAGCAACTGATCATTTCCGTTTTCATCACTTCCATCAGACTCGATCACAACACATGAGGCAAGTTCTGTTGGTACATTACACTCAAAATTGTCTCTCATATTGTATTTCTTCAGGAGGTTTGCATGGAACAACTTAATTTTCCCATTCACATCAATACGATAATCTGAAATGCCTTTTCTCTCTACAACTTTAAATGGCCCTTTCCACTGAATCAACAGTTTATTGTTATCGGTAGGAAGTAGAATCAATACATATTCAGCAACCTTGAATGATCTGCTCTGTGTCTTTCTGTCATAGTTTTTCTTGTATCTTTCGCTGGATTTCTGTAGTTCTTTTTTCACCAGTTCACACGTACTCGAGAGTCTTTCCTTCAGATCCAAGACATACTGGTAAGTGCTTTTGACCTCTGGTTGAACTTCTTTTGTCCACAACTCTCTTAATACCATCATTGGACCCCTAACTGTTCTACCAAACAGAAGCTAAAATGGTGAAAACTTTGTACTTTCTTGAGGCACTTCTCTATATGCAAATAGAAGAGCAGGTAAGTATCTATCCCAGTCTTTGGGTCTTTCAGAGCACATTTTACGTAACATGGACTTAAGTGTACCGTTAAATTTCTCAACCAAGCCATTACACGAAGGATGATAAGGTGTTGTTACTAGCTGTTTAATTGACAAAAGAAGACTAACCTCTTTCATGATGTTTGATGTGAACTGTGTGCCCATGTCGGTAAGGATTTCTTTCGGTATGCCCATCATGCTGAAGATACAGTGCTTCGGCCACTCTCTCCGTCTCTATGCCTTTCAGTGGAATTGCTTCTGGATATCTGGTGCTATAATCAACTACAGTTAAAATATATCTGTTACCTTTTTCAGTAACTGGTGCGATAGGACCTACCAGATCAACTGCTACTCTCTCAAACGGAGTGTCGATCAATGGCATCTTCTCCAATGGAACTTTTGTCACTTTGCCCTTTGGAAAGGTCCTTTGGCATACATCACATGATTGACAATATCTTTTGACATCACCTTGAATTCCCGGCCAGTAGAAACTTGACGATATGCGGTCTACTGTCTTCTTCGTTCCTAGGTGTCCTCCCATAATACTGTCATGCGCGATGGTCATCACCTTTCGTCTAAGAGTTCCAGGAATAACGAGCTGTTTAAATATTTTGTTGTCACTGACCTTTGAAGACTGGAAATGTCTGTATAACAGCCCCTTTTCCACAGAAAACCAGGAAACTATCCCATCACCAAGGTTTTTCTTTTTACCAGATGTTGCAAGATTTCTGTAGGTACTCAATGATTCATCTGTCGTCTGTAATTCTTTCATTTTATCTACATTGACATCAAGATCTATCGAATCTGATACACTTAATTCCTTCATACCTTTCTCTTCCTTAACCTTCTGACTTCTGGTCTGCACAGCTTGAAGTAATTCAAAGTTGTTTTCTCTATCTTCTCTTCTTCGCCACAGTGGATCTGGATCTGAGTGGTTTCTTACGCCTTGTACATTTCCTATAATAAGATCATACACTGGTTCTTTCATACACAATGCATTTACCTTTCCTACATAAAAAGGAGTATCAATGTCAATGACTGCTTCTTCCACCTGCCGAACTGTACCATCTATCAACACACACTCCTGCAGCTTCCCTGTTAGCTCAGTATCTTTCACAAGGTCAAGCTTAACCACGATACCACTACAACCACTGTCTCTGAGTACTTTCACATAGCTTTCACCAACATAACCCATTAGTACAGGCATAGCATCACATACCTGGCAAACACCACCCACAACTGGAAGAATGTGTCCGCAGGCTAACTTTACATGACCATTTTTCACACAGCATTCCTTCAGCTTGTCTGTCAGTATGCATGCCGACCCAACAAGAGGCTTCTCCCCTTCAGATGAGGTATTCACTGGTATGGCACTCTTTGTAGATGCGTATTGCGGCTGTAAAGAACTAGAACAGTTATTATAATCAGGATTTGACTCACAATTATTTTTTTTATTCTTCATTGCGGCCGCCTTGTGGATCTTATGAATATGTTGCATTCCATGACGATGTACACTCTGTTTTGAATAACAGTCTTTCGCCAGATGCCCTGGTTTGTGACATCTGTAGCATTTTCTATCCTTCATCTGCTGAGAGTCAGACTGTCGTCTATACATCTGATTATGGTTGCGGTTGATGAGACTTCTTTGGAATTCACTGGGATAAGTTTTCTGAAAAACTTGAACATCTTTCATGAAGGAAGAATAGCCATGTGCTTCAATGAACTGATCCGCAAGGTTAGACATTTCTTCTACATTTCCTGGGTGTCTTTCTTTTAAAAACATTGCTAAAGATCTGCTACAGCTATTCATAAATTGTTCTCTTAGAAATAAATCTTTAAGCCCTTCATAAGTCCTGGGACTTTTTGTTAAATTCAACCACTTTTCAACATAGTTATCAATGCGAGCAAAAAATTGCGATGGACTCTCACCTGGGTCTGGTTTGGAAGTACGGAACTTCGAATGAAACCCTTCCTCTGTCAACTGGAATCGCTTAAGTAACGCCTGTTTCAATGTTCTGTAATTCAAAACCTCAGATGCAGGTAAACGTGAGTAAACTTCAAGAGCTTTACCTTTAATAAGGCGCTGAGATTGATGTCCCAGACAGACTCTTCCAACTTTGCGTTGGATGCAAATCGCTCAAACCTCTGCAAGTATGAATCAATACAGTCTTTACTCTCTTCAAACACAGGTAACTTGGGAAGTTTAGCACGAGAATTTGAAACCTGACCAATTGCATTAGCATTTGTAGCAGCTATTTCTGAATTTCTATATTTTTGCAACTCTGTCTCTCTCTTGATCGTTTCTAACTCAATCTCTCTTTCTAACTTTCTTGCTTCTCTTTCTACCGCTCTTTCGTCTCTTTCAAATTTCTCTTTCTCCTTATTATCTACAAATTCTCTTAACTCTTCACCTGCCAATCCTAATCTTTACCCTAACTCAACAAACTCCATGATAAAGAATAGAGTGAGCAGAACAAAACCACCTCAACACATGTGAAAATGAACACATCTAAAACATGAAAAAAAAAACAACAAAAAAACAACAGAGTTCAAAAAAAAAAAAAAAAAAAAAAAAGAAAAAAAAGATTACAACAAAGGTATCAAAGGTAAACTTCTCTGACGTAAAAATATTATACAGGATAGAAATTATAACATTTCAAACACTATATAAATATAATCACTTGATTGAACAAAGAGCCATCCCACCGCTGCCACCAAAAATGTCACAATTGCCTTCAATTGTGTTGGGTTCTTTTTTTAAAAAAAAAAAAAAAAAAAACCTTTACCAGTCTAGTAAATGGATGACCTTTGTCAATCAAGAAAACAATACTTTATAACAATAACAATTTATTTACAAATGTACAAAAAAAATCAAAATGGAACTCGGGCTCCGGTGGAATGGAGGCTTAGGAGACATCAGATGAATGGCGCACAGTAGACATCAGATGAAACACACAAGAAGCTAGTGCAAGACCATAATGTCACAGAATGATCACTAACACGTCTCCCAAACGAAGAACCATATTCATATTCATATTCATATAACATGTCGGCCGGAAGTACCAATCATCACCGGAAGTAGACGTCATCGGATTCAGGAAGTTCACTCATAACGTAGAATTAACATCAGGGAAGGTTATCTACATCTACTAAAAGGTCACTGGATTGTAGTCATTCACACTCATAAATGCAAAAACAAAAGGCCCAGGTTTCAAATGGTCCACACAGGTACCAGTAATGCATCCAATTTCCACACAGCATGGGAGCCGCCCAATCCACTAAGTATGGGTCATAATTTCACACCGTCCACACAGTTTGGTGTTCAGAACTAATCTGACAAACCTGGCCAAAACCCTGGATACGTGTAACTATTAATATCATCAGACTTGACAAACGGGTTTACCAAGCGATGCCGCAGCTCTTTATGCTACAATTCAGTGACCATCGATGCGTGTAAAGTTAAACACTCCACAATGTATGGAAGATCATTTGGAGCAATATTTACAATATTGTGACAATTGTTGACGGACAGTCATATGATATATATACATTTGAATCACATTCTCCTGACGTTTCAGGCCGAAATTAGATGATTTGTTAACTTTGTTTTTCTATACATAATATTTCAGATAAAAAAGTATTAATTTCAATCTGATTAAAATTTACGTACAATATAGTTAGTGTAGTGAGTATGCGAGCGGATCTAGCATCTAATTTTAAATAGGCTTGATTATTTTGAAATGCAAAAAAATTATATATAATATCTTTGTTTACTGGAGTATTATAAAAGTATTGAGAAAAAAAAAAAAAAACACAGACTGAATCGTTTTACTAAGTTGAATTATGATGTAAAATCATGCGACACATTTTCTTTCTTTTACAATTCAACTGCAAACGAAATAAAAGAGCTAATTACATAGAGTGTACTGAGAATGTTCACCCCCCCCCAACTTTTTTTCTGAGAATAGTATTTTGCTGTAGTAAAATTTCATTTAGATGCTGCTCCCCCCTTTTGATGTTGTAAGGTCGAGCACTGGCAATTTCCAGGATTTGGACAGTAAATTAGCTTTTTTTTATTTGTCAGATAATTTTGGGAAGTCCCCCCCCCCTCCACACACACTTTTGGTAAGTTTAATTAAGGTTTTCCGTCTCCAACGGAAGACCTTATTATTTTCGTTCGGGTTCTTTTTCCCTATTATTATTATTCTTACCGATTTTGTGCACGCGAGTTCTCGGTAACGTCTTGGCCGATTTTCATGAAACTTTAACAAATCATGAAACTGATAGGTATTGATCTAAACCTTATTGGAATTGTTTTTCCTTGTTGACGTCACTTTCTATCTCGAGATATTAAGGATTTTCTGATTTTCAGAAGGTCGGCCTGTCCTGGAAACTCCTCCGAAACGACTTAAGATATTGAGTCAAGATTTTCAGTGAAGGTACGGGAAGGTTTGTAGATTTGCAGGCAGGTGTCCAAATCCCTCTAGTACAAAAGGCGCCGAAGCTCGGTAGGGCTCAAAAAATGTCTCAGAAACATCTCACAAAATTTTACACTTTTTCTTTCATATCTTCATACATTTTAAGAATTTGTTAAAACATATAGAAGAAAAGTTGTGCAGAATGAAACGTCCTTTCATTCGATATCAAGAAAGAGGGGCTGAACCCTCAAATTAGGGGCTGAGAGAGACCAAAAGTCTTTCAACTTTAAATCTTTAACGATCAATAATTTGTAATACATTACCGAAGCAAAGATGCTTATCTTAACGATTTACAACAATATATGATAAGATTCTGATCATATGTTAAGTAATAAGGGGTCACAAGGGGCCAGAATGCTAAATCTTTGACGCTTTATATCTTGAAAAGGGGGAATATTTTGAAAAGCATTGCTGAACAAAGGATCGTCAGAATAATGTTCTAGACAATATGCACTCTTTCAATTTTTGTCAGTCGGCCCCATTAAGGACTTGGAGGGGTGGCCCCTAAATGTTTCAATTCAGCATATCTCCACAACGAAAAGAAATCTCTGAATAGTTGTTGAACAAAAAGTCTTCAAAATCACAAGACCTTTCATTTGATGTCAAGAAAAAGGGGCTTACCCTTCAAATTATGGGGCTCAGAGGGGCCAAAAGTCTTTCATCTATAACTCTTTAACGATCAATAATTTGTTATACATTACTGAAGCAAATATGCTTATCTTAACGATTTACAACAATATATGATAAGATTCTGATCATATGTTAAGTAATAAGGGGTCACAAGGAGCCAGAATGTCGAAAAGGGGGAGTATTTTGAAAAGCAAACCTGAACAAAAGATGGTCAGAATAATGTTCTAAACAATATGCACCCTTTCAATTTTTGTCAAACGGCCCCATTAAGATCTTGGAGGGGTGGCCCCTAAATATTTCCATTAAGCATATCTCCACAACGAAAAGAAATCTCTGAATAGTTGTTGAACTAAAAGTCTTCAAAATCACAAGACCTTTCATTTGATGTCAGGAAAATGGGGTTGACCCTTCAAAAAAGGGGCTCAGAGCGGCCAAAAGTCTTTCATCTTTAACTCTTTAACGATCAATAATTTGTTATACATTACTGAAGCAAATATGCTTATCTTAAAGATTTACAACAATATATGATAAGATTCTGATCATATGTTAAGTAATAAGGGGTCACAAGGGGCCAGAATGCTTTTTACATCTCGAAAAGGGAGAATATTTTGATGAGCAATACTGAACAAAAGATGGTCAGAATAATGCTCTAAACAATATGCACCCTTTCAGTTTTTGTCAAACGGTCCTGTTAAGGACTTGGAGGGGTGGCCCCTAAATATTTCTATTCAGCATATCTCCACAATGAAAGGAAATCTCTGAATATTTCTTGAACAAAACGTTTTCAAAATCACAAGACCTTTCATTTGATATCAAGAAAAAGGGGCTGACTCCTCAAGCTAGGGGCTCAGAGGGGCCAAAAGCATGTCATATTTAGCTCTTTGATAATGTTATATTAATCAGAAAAATGAAATCTAATTGGGGAAGTCTATATATTTTTATCTTATAACAAAGATCATAGTCAAAATCATATCTCATCTTATCGAAAAATCGGACGGAAGATCTACTCGTTGCTCGCTACGAGATCTCATCTAGTTTTTTTTTTTTGTTTTTTGTTTTTTGATTTTTGTTTTTTTTTTGTTCGTCTGATTTTTTTTTTTTTTTTTTGTTTGGGGGGGGGGGAGTTGCCCCCCCCTCCCCCGCCCATTTTTGAAACCGTTGCTACGGGCCTGCAAGCCATGCACATTTTTTTCAAAGTGTGTTAATATGGTCGATATTAAAGCACTTTGAAAAGATTTTTTTTTCAAGTGCGTTAACTTGGTTCAAAATTTAACGCACTTTGAATTTTTTTCAAGTGCATAATTTTTCAAGTGCGTTGTAACAAGTGCACATCACTTTTCAAAATTTTTAACTATAATATGTTTCTTCGCAAACCGTTTACGTCAGATTCAAGATCTCTACCACCCAAAAACTGTCTTTTCCACGTATATTGTATATACAATTGCACGGGTCATTTATATATACTTCCTGGTTCTCCGGTCCAGCATTTTCAGAGTTTGTTGAAAAGATTTCTTGAATGAAAAGCATTTTTTTTTCTGTACTCGCTGCTCCGTTACGTCCTTCGATGTCATCGTTTTTTGATTTTTCTAATGAAGTCTGTCTTTAGATATTGATATCTTTTAAACGAAGTAATATATTACGTAACATTTTAGCATATGAAGAAATGCACCAATACTAAATTTAATCAATTAAATTTTATTTCGTTTAAGCACCATTTATTAGAGGTATGACTATACACATTATAAAGTATATAATTAGTTTATAACTCAATTTTGACCCTGCTCCGTGACCCCATTTTTCCTGTTTTAAATCTTTGATAATTTTGATAAATATCAAGATATATTTCAATTTTTTAATTCAAATTATATGAAGCTATTGCTAAAATATGTGTACCGAATTTCGATATGATATGATATGATGTTGAATAAAAAAGTTATGCCAAAATTCTACGAATTTTTTTAATGATTCTCGTATTATCTGACAAGTCAACATGATTTTGTAACAAGTTGACATAATTTTTTGACAAGTCAACATAATATATTACAAGTCGACATCAGTATCTGACAAGTCGACATACATGTAACATCTAACAAGTCGACTTGTCAGAATATTATGTTGACATATCTTGACACATTTTGATGACAAATAAATATCAGTTAGTGGCTTTAACATACTTTAATAACAAAATACCGAGTTCCTGGTCCTGATGATTATTATCTGACAATACGACAATAATTATTCGACAAGTTGACATAAACATCTGACAAGTAGTGGCAGAAATATGTCACAATAATATCTTGTTC